TAGCGTGGGTGTCGCAACTGCAGTAGCGTGACATTTGTCCGATCAAAGGAGTACGGAAACGGGGCTGGATGATAGTGATATCTAGGTGCTCTCTCTATACTCCACCCGCACTACCGACCGCACCGTCAGCGACATGGCTGACCACAGCAAAACGCCCTACTTGTATGCGCTCTCTCTATTCTGGTTGTTCTTGCTGCTGGGTGCGTGTTTCGTTGTGAAATCGCGGTATCGACGTGCGTCGGGGATGTGCAGGCGAGTATGGAGACGGCACCTGATTACAAAAATCTTCCAGTCCCGTTCCCGTGCACTTTTGCGCGGAGAAAGTGGCATTCTGGTGGAGCTGCGGACCTATACACTTCGCATATGTAAAGGACCGTCCGCGAAGGTATGCGTACAATTCGCCTCTAACGCGGAGTTTCTGAGCAAGTCAAAGAACCCATTACGATTACTCTTCCACAACAACTGAGGTAGGTAAGCCCCCTCCCTTTCCCGCGCCCTGTGGATCCCTCAAAGATGGTGAGCACCCTCTTAGTAGTACTTGCTAAAATGGCGGTCAGATTTGTCGATGGTGAACATATTTGGTACAGTAAATTCATAGAAAATGTAAACCATACCTCTCAAAGGATGAATTCGGACCCGCATGCCTGGTTCAAGGAAGGACAGTTGAAAAGCCTGAACGTATACATTGCTTATTCCGAAGTGAATGCAGGAATGAATATTGCCAGTTCTACGCAGCTTACTGCACAGAACTGACTGTATTCGGTAATTGAGGATTACCTTGTCCTTGTCCTTGCCATTGTCGATGGTCTGATGACAATCACCACCTGTAAGCAAATCAGTATCCACAGCCTGCTTCGTGAAGAATTCAACGTCTACTTTCAAGTAGTAAAGGTACGTATAGTGACTACGCATTGTTTTAGGGTCAAAGGGTTTTACACACAGGGTACAGCATTGAGATGTGTGAAGTAGTGGTGTCAGTAGGTCTTCCCCCTTCCTTATCTACTACGACCCTACCCTAGCTACTTAAAGGCAGTTGGCACGATGGTTTCCCACTTGGCCTAAAATGCTAGTAGGGCGCTATGTAGTGGGGAAATGGCGAAAGAACGGAAACGGTCAAAAACATGCGAAGAAAAGCCTTCGTTCTCAATGACTGAACAGGCAATTTAGGACAAG